AGAACAACTAAGGAATTAAAATCAACAACAAGGAGGATGTTGAGATCCTCAGGGTGTCCGAGCAACAGCAATCTAGCTGAGAGGAATTCTTAAGAGGCAGAAGAGTGAGCATGATGGTGGGGTGGGAGGAAGGAAAAAGGAAACAGAGGAAAGATTGAGGAAGCAAAGCTATAGATAGAGGTATAAACAGGTGTGTACATATGTAAATACATTAATTCATAAAAAGAGATATTGGCGTATGTTCATATATTATAATACGCTGAGGTAATGGACAGACTTTGGGCCTCTGCTCAAGCCCTCCCTCAATACAAGAACACTTTGTTTAACAACGTGGCATCCTGTGATGCTCATCCACCCAGCACGATCACTGAAACCAAAATGGGTGCACAAGCAAATGTGAAGAAAGCGGATGGTGCCAAGCTATCAAAAGATATAGTGTCTGGGGTCTTTAACAAGTGGCCATCTAGCAGAGAAGTAACAAGCCCACATGGAAGAAGCACACCAGCCTGTGCGATCATTAGGTGTTGATGGGATTGGGTAGCAGGCATCAGAAGACCCAAAACAAACAAACAAAAAAAACCATATTGTTCAGAACAAGGGGTGTCAGAGCAGAGACCCAAAACTCATCTGTAGACAATGGGACATCCCCCTCACAGAAGGATCACAAGGAAGGGATGAGTCAACCAGGGTGCAGTAAAGCACCAATGCAACACACAATATTCCTCTAGTTCCTTGAGGCTTCCTCACCCCCCACCATCATGACCCCAGTCCTGCCTTTCAATGTGGGCTAGACCAGAGTATGTACCCAGGTACAGAGAAGAGCTCATGACACATGGAATCCAGGTCAGATAAACCCTCAGGAACAGAAATGGGAATAGTGATACCAGGAGGGCAGGAAGGTGGGGAGAGGAGGGGAGGAAGAGGGAACTGATGGCAATGATGGACACATAACCACAACCCCACCCAGGGGAACAAACAACAGAAACCGTGGGGGAAGGGAGACAGTGGTCAGTGTAAGATATGAAAATAATTTATAATTTATCAAAGGGTCACAAGAGTCAGAGGTGGTAGGGGGAGGATAAAAAGAGGAGCTGATACCAAAGGCTCAAATAGAAAATAAATGTTTAAAAAAAAAGAAAGAAAGAAAGAAAATAAATGTTTAGAAAATAATGATGTACATACAATATGGTTGATATAATTGATGCATGGATTGTTATAAGAACTGTAAGAGCCCCCAATAAAATGATCTTTTTAAAAAATGACACTTTTGCATCTTCAAGGGACCCAAATTGTATTCCATATCAATGTTCTTTGAGTTTGGGGAGTAAAAAGTCCGAAGGGTTAAGATCAGGGCCATGGGGCGGTTGGGGTAAGGTTTTTCAGTGAAATTCCCCTTGGATTGCCCTGACTCCCCTCAAAGAAGGAGCAGGTGCATTCCCGTGAAGCGTGTGGAGGGAAGTCCTCCGAGGAACTTGCCTGGCATTTTTCTTGCGGATGCAGTGTTCAGTTTTCTGAGACTTCCTCATAAGCCCTGGTAATCCTCATGTGACTAAAGAGGAAAAGCTATCAAGACGACTCCTCTGGAATTCCAAAACCCAGTCTCCATAACCTGAGCTGACTTTTGCCTTGAATGTATTTGACCTGGCGGATTCCCTCGGAAACCACTGTTTAGATCAGACCTTTGAAGCCACCCTGATGAGACTCAAATGTATCATGGAGAGACGTGTAAACACGTTTTGTTGGAATAAACCCGTGTGTATATGATCTCCTTGACTTAACCTCATATAAGCACAGCCATCAAGTTGATTCCAGCTCATAGTCACCCTATATAGGGTATCTGAGGCTGTCAATCTATGGTAGCAGACAGCCTCATCTTTCTCCCGAGAAGCAGCTGGTGGATTTGAACTCTGACCTTTCTGTTAGTAGTCCAACACTTACTTACCTGACAGTGCTACCAGGCCACTATCCTCATAGAGTTGGTTGTATTTTGCTACCTTGGCAGATTAGGAAGTTCTTGAACACGGGGACTTAAAAGTAATGTTCATCTCTATATGAGGTAAACTGAGTTAAGAGAATTGAGAGTAGTCTTACCTGGTCCCACAAGGCCGCAGCCACCTGGTCTATTACGGCTCCCAGCTCGCGGTATTCTCCAGAGTACCGAATGTATGCCCAAGTGCATAAGGTGATAAGGGTCAGTCCCATTATCATATTGCATAAGCTGGCGATGATGTCCAAACCAATGAACCCAGTCACACCAGCAATCACATATGTGATGAAGATGACAACAAACAGTGTGGCCGGGGTACGAGCTGCATGGAAGATATTTTTGCTATCATTGTGCTTGATATACTGGATGTAAAGTTCGTCTATTTCACTCTCCAACTGCTGCAGGTAACGCCTGCTAAATTCTTCCCCGCCCATCTTCTTCACTCCTCGGAACAGCTTCACAGATTCCTCTTTCAGCTCCAGATGTTTGGTCTGCAGGTCACTAGGGGCCAGAAATGGTTTGTCACCACCACAAATCTGTATCAGATTACAGAAGAATTTTTTTAATGTAACGGCAGAGTAAAATTAGCAACAGATCGAAATTCTTTACTTAGCTAGTTGAATTTGTTGTCGTTGCTAGGTGTCAAGTTGGTTCCCACGTATAGCAGCCCTGTGTATGACAGAATGAAACGTTGCCCAGCCCTGCCAGCTTCTCAGTGTTATGTTTGAACCCCTGGTAGCAATTGCTGTGTCAATTCATGTCCTTGAAGCTCTGTTTTGCTGACCTTGTTGGGTAGCACACATTAATGTGAAGGAACCTACATATGTGTCTGTCCACCCACATCTCCCCGCACCTCCATCTCTATGAAGAATAACTAGTCCATCACATCAGCATCTTTACAAATCTGATCTTTCCTTGTCTTTGGGGGTGGGAGGCAATACCGCGGAGAACGAACGACAGCATCAGCAAATCACCGGCTGCAACAGCATGTAGTGTGTGTTGCTAACACGCTGTATTAGAGAAGCAAAACCAGCCCTGAGGGCTGTCAGTGCAACTGGTTGTAACTGGAACACATTGTAAGCTGAAAATTACCTTTATGAAGAGAAAACACTGAATACCCATTACTGTGTCATAAACACCATGCCATATATATTTTCCTGAATGCTAAAACTCAAGCAATTTTACAATTACTTTTGACTTTATAACATCTTTGAGGGATTAAAAAAATCATATTAGTAGATGCACACAACCATAAAGTGCATTCTTATTTACTTACATCCTTTTGGAATGTTAAAAAATAGAAATATATAGAAATATTGGCACATGCGGTTTAGTTCTTTTTTCCCAAAAGGTTTTGCCTTTAAGATGGAAATCCTAGAATTGATGAATGTAGATCATATAGTGGGGAGGTTATCATAGTCTATGTGAACCAATAAATCTTATAAATAGTGGCAATATTTGACACAAAAAAGGAACTATATTATAAATAAGAGCAGATAATTTAAAATTCCTTTAAAATTGTGCATGCTTTTTTCTTTAAACATTTTATAAATAACAATATATAAGAATATATGGATTCAACAATAGGGTCAAAAAGCAATAAATGTGAGATGTCGCAGGACCAGACAGTTTTTTGTTCTGTGGCAACAACTGTGGTAGTTACATAATCTGTCAGTGTGAGGAAGGGGTGGAGTCTAGCCTGTCAATCAAGTCATAGCCTATGAAGCCTCTCTGTGGGCATGGCCTTCTCCTGAGGATTCTGGGAAATCCTGTCTGCCACCCTGGAGGCAGGACACACACTCTCTGCTTCACTTTACTGTTGACACGCCACATCTCCATGTCTCTGGAGCTGGAGGAGCCACATGGAGATGTACCCAGTGCTGAGATGCTCCCACCACCACTGGATCTACAAGACTTTCCACCCACTGGCCTGTGATCTTCCTGCATTCAGCATTATTGCATGGCTTCATGAGTCTAAAGACAAATTTATGGCCTAGAATCGGACATATGGGTTAATATCAGACTTATGGACCTGATCTGGTCTGGACTGGGATGTTTTTCAATATACAGTTGCTCTTTTATATAAAGCTCTTTATTATACACATATGGGTATCTATGAATTTGTTTCTCTGGTCAACCTGGACTAACACAACAACAAAACACATAAGGCTGAGGAAGAAAAAGGCAAATCACCTCATCTTTCCATGTGCAGAAAGTATAACTTGGAAATATAAAGAATAAACTCATGAAAGACATACTAAATTTCTGTGAAACATTATTTAAAGCAATTCCTTCTTACCTCTTCCATTTTTTTGTTATATGTGTCCTTGGCAGTTGCCACAGCTGCTAAATTGTTAGCTTCTGCTGTAGCCTTTGGAAAAAGTACAAAATACCATGTGAAATCGAGTCCGTGTTTATTAACATTCCACAGGCAGCTCTCATTTCAGAGCACCATGTATAAGAAATGCGCAAGAAGCCAGTCATCAACTACTTTTTAACTGTTGAAATATTTTCACATTAAAAAACATTAATAAAATAGAATCTTACTCAATAAGCCACAATTATAAAATATTTTTTTATCTGGAAGAATATTTTGTCTTAAAAATATTTTCAAGGCTCCCACCAAATGCAAAACACAATAGGAATAATAAATAAACCCCAAACATGGGAGATAATATATTGTAGATTTATAAATTGTGTGTGTGTGATATCACTGATGACGAAAAGGAACTGTTAAGAACTTGACAAAATTTTTTAAGTATGTAAGGAAAAATTTAATTTCTCCTTTTCACTGTTAAATATGGAAGCCACTGTAAAATCTGACCTTGCTTTTCTTACCGCTTTCTACCTGTTTGAATCTAAATCACAGGTGCGTCTATTTCATCAACAGACTTGATACAAGGAGAATGAAAGCTCTGTGGTTTAAATGATTCCCATCAGCACGAGTGCGATTGCTGTATGTGAAAAATGCTTATTTAACTGAACCCGCGAAATAGGTAAAATAGGAAAGTAATCACCCGGTACAGCATTCTGTCTAATATTTAGGTATGGTAATTTCTCACAGCCAGATTGGGGAGTAT